CCACCACAAATATCACAAAAATATCTCAATTATCGTGGTGCTAACTTTATTCCAATATTATGCCTTTTACGTGAGAATGAAGCGTATCCGAGACTGACACATCTATATACCATCCAACCAATAGATCGATTATATCCTACAAATTTAATCATTTATTTTGAATAACCTTGTAAACATAAAAGCACCTACTAAAATTTTGAAATACCTGAAACCGTTCGCCAAATTCAGTAGGATATCGCTCTGCTATTTTTTCTAACACCTCTAATATTCCAGGAAAGCAATCTGAACTATCCATAGAGTCTAGCAAACTTTCCAAATCATGAAGAACGTTAGGAATGAACTGTTGAAAAGGTCCAGAATTTGATACAGTTTGAGAACTTGAAGCAAGTTGGTTACGTGCAAAAACCTATATATTTTTGTTCGAGCAATTTTAATTCGATTTCAGATTATAATTCACATTCTATTTATCGGTTTTACCTCTCGTAAGGAAGTCAATAACCAAAGCTTGCGTTCTTTCTCTTTTTCCTTAGAACTACTATCTGAAGCCTGCAACCTTTCAAATATCCAGCGAAAAAAGCTGCTTATTTCATTGTTCATTATCAGAGCGGTTTGAGCTAGACATTTTGCCACTGCAGTTTTAAAATTTGTAGGAGCACTACACGTAAATACGTTGATCAATATCTCATAGAGTAACGAATTTAATATCCATTAATTCAATTGATTTATTTTTAAAGGATTTACCGAGGATCTTCGAAGATAGCTTCGAAACCAGCACCACGAGTTACTGCTTCAAAAATTTGTGATTTTTCCCATGGCGTGCATGGTTCATTCAGTATAACTACTAGTTGGTTAACATATGACAAGCGTCTGGCGTACACTGGTTCATTCTCGTCTCGAATACGAGAAAGTAGTAAGTTTACACGAGAAATTTTAGCCGATTCAACTACATTAAATAATAATGTTAGAAACAGCTGTCTTTTTCGCGTAAATAGGAACCGTTAAAGAAAAATTACAATTGCCTCTGGCTTCTAAATTATTATGCGATGGTGCGTGGGATTGTATTTGATACTGGCGATGGGAAGAACGTCTGCCGTACCGATTCCTTGGCCCACTCATTATAGGACTTAACCGTTTTGAAAGGCAGCTTTGATCAATTTATCGTTATCGTTATGCCAAAAATTCCGATCAATCACGTGACTATAAATCTTAAGGTCCATACTATTTTTGATTGGTCGACTTACGTAAAAATTTAATTTATTTTTTTACTTACATTATCTTGCAAGAAAAATATACCTGCAATTATCATAAGTAAAACTTTGGACATTTTGCCTTAATACTAACAGAAAGTAATAGTATGTTACCATTTACAACCCTAATTTATTGTGGTAACTAGGGTGCGGAAAAAAAGGCCCGGTTGATTTCTGAAATTTTGAAGGCTATAAAAACAATGTCCCCAGGAATAGATTAGTGGGTCCACCAAAATGCCCGAATTTGGGGTCAGGGATGGGCCGGAGCAAAGTGGCATGAAGCAATAATACCGGCCGACTATATTATAGCAAAATTATCATTTGGGCAGCTTTACTTAGTGTATAGGCTGCCACTTTATTAGTAAAATTT